CACATCCATACATGACTACTGGAAAAACCATAGCCTTGACTAGATGGACCATTGTTGACAAACTAATGTCTCTGCTTCTTAATATGCTGTCTAGTTTGGTCATAGCTTTTCTTCCAAGGAGCAAGCATCTTTTAATTCCATGGCTGCAGTCACCATCTGCAGTGATTTTGGAGGCCCCCAAAATAAAGGTTGTCACTGTTTCCACTGTTTCCTCCATCTATTTGCCATGAAGTGATGGGACCAGATGCCATGATATTAGTTTTATGAATGTTGAGTTTTAAGCCAATTTTTTCACTCTCCTTTTTCGCTTTAATCAAGAGGCACTCTAGTTCTTCGCTTTCTGCCATAAGGGTGGTGTCATCTGCATGTCAGAGGTTATTGATATTTCTCCTGGCCATCTTTATTCCAGCTTGTGTTTCAGCCACCTGGGTATTTCATGTGATGTACTCTGCATATAAGTTAAATAAGCAGGGAGACAATATACAGCCTTGATGTACTCCTTTCCTGATTTGCAACCAGTCTGTTTTTCCATGTCCAGTTCTAACTTTTGCTTCCTGACCTGCATACTGATTTCTTAGGAGGCAGGTCAAGTGGTCTGTTATTCCCATCTCTTTAAGAATTTTTCACAGATTTTTTTGTGATCCACACTGTCAAAGGTGTTGGCATAGCCAATAAAACAGAAGTAGATGTTTCTCTGGAACTCTCTTGCTTTTTCAATGATCCAGCGGATGTTGGCAACTTGATATCTGGTTCCTCTGCCTTTTCTAAATCCAGCTTGAATATCTGCACATTCAGGGTCCACATACTGTTGAAGCCTGATGGAGAAACTCTATACAGAAGAAAAAACAAGACCAGGAGCTGACTGTGGTTTAAATCATGAACTCCTTATTGCCAAATTCAGATTTAAATTGAAGAAAGTAGGGAAAACCACTAGACCATTAAGGTATCACCTAAATCAAATCCCCTACGATTATACAGTGGAAGGGAGAAATCAATTTAAGGGATTAAATCTGATAGAGAGAGTGCCTGAAGAACTATGGACAGAGGTTTTTGACATCTGTCCTTTTGACAGAAGTGGCAGGGATCAAGACCATCTCCAAGAAAAAGAAATTAAAAAAGGCAAAATGGTTGTCTGAGGAGGCCTTACAAATAGCTGTGAAAAGAAGAGAAGTGAAAGGCAAAGGAGAATAGGAAAGATATACCCATTTGAATGCAGAGTTCCAAAGACTATTAAGGAGGGATTAAAAAAAAAAAAAGCCTTCCTCAGTGCTCAATGCAAAGAAATAGAAGAAAACAATAGAATGGGAAAGGCTAGAGATCTCTTCAAGAAAATTAGAGACACCAAGAGAACATTTCATGCAAAGATTGGCACAATAAAGGACAGAAATGGCATGGACCTAATAGAAGCAGAAGATATGAAGAAGAGGCAGCAAGAATACACAGAAGAACTATACAAAAAAGATCTTCACAACCCAGATAACCACGGTGGTGAGATCACTCACCTAGAGCTAGACATCCTGGAATGTGAAGTCAAGTGGGCCTTCAGAAGCATCACTAGGAACAAAGCTAATGGAGGTGATGGAATTTCAGTTGAGCTATTTAAAATCCTCAAAGATGATGCTGTGAAAGTGGTGCATTTAATATGGCAGCAAATTTGAAAAACTCAGCAGTGGCCACAGGACTGGAAAAGGTCAGTTTCATTCCAATCCCAAAGAAAGACAGTGTCAAAGAATGCCCAAACTACTGCACAATTCGACTCTCTACCTTAAATGTGTAAAATAAATATAGGAGGGAAAATGAAACATTAACAATTTATGAATAGCAGGAATTCAGAGACTTTGCAATTAAACTGAACCAGAGGTGAATCTTGACTCTGGAATTTCTTGGCTGTGTGATGTTGGATAATGCACTCAAACTCTATTGTCTTTGGTTTCCCCCTTTATGAACTATTACTATTTCTTCTACCTTCATCTTGATGGAGTATTTGTTTATCTTTTCCCACTCATGGTCCCTGGTTTGCACTGCCCAGATTGATGCCAGAGCAAACGGACAGAGGCAACCATTTGCATTCTTGCTTCATTTTCAAAAGAATATTTATACTTTGCTCCTTGCTCTTTCATTCTTTAAAAAAAAATAATTTTATATTGGAGTGTAGCTGATTAGCAATGTTGTGATAGTTTCAGGTGCACAGCAGAGTGACTCAGCCATACATATATATGTATCCATTCTCCCCTGAACTCTCCACCCATCCAGGCTGTCACGTAACATTGAGCAAATGTTGTATACAGAAAATCTTATGAAATCCACTAAAAACCTATTCAGACTAATAATCAAGCTGAGAAGTTTACAGGCTTGAAGAGCAATATATAAAAATCAATTGTACTTCTATATTTTAGCAATAAACATTCCAAAAAAAGAAATTAAGAAAACACTGCCATTTACAGTGGAATAAAATACTTAGGAGCAAATTCAACAAAGGAAATGTGAAGTTTTTACTCTGCAAAACTTGAAATAACTACTGAAATAAATTAAAGAATCTGCCTGGAGTGTGGGAGACTCAGGTTCAATCCCTGGGTCAGGAAGATCCCCTGGAGGAAGAAATGTCTACCCATTCCAGTATTCTTGCCTGGGAAATCCCATGGACAGAGGAACCTGGTGGGATACAGTCCATAGGGTCACAAAGAGTCAGATACAACTGAAGTGACTTAGCACAGCCCAGTGTACAACGTATTGACAGTTAGGAGTTTGGTTTAATATTGTCAAATGGATAGTAAAAGTATTTGAAACATTCAATTTAGATTTTCACTTTTTATTTACAGTTTTGGGTGACTAACACATACATACATACTGAAAGAAATTAAAAGTATAAAATAAGTGGAAAGACATTCCATATTCAGTGATAGGAAGACTTAACACTGTTAAAGTCTTAAGTCTTAATACTGTTAAAATCACTAACTGATTTTCAGATTCAATATAATCCTATCAAAATTTGCAAAATCCAAACTGAATATTTGCAGAAACTGTGTGGAGGAATTGGAACCTTAATATATTTCTGGTGGTAATGTAAAATTGTGTGGTCAATGTGGAAAAGAGTTTGGCAGTTCTTCACATTAAACTCCATACATAAGTATAATCCCAAAAGAAATGAATAACTGTGTCTACACAAAAACTTTTAAACAATATTCATAACAACATTACTCATCACAGTTGAAAAGTCAAAACAACTAAAATGTCCACCAGTTGATGAATGGGTAAATAAAATGTGGCATAATCATGCAAAGTATAATCTTGAGCAAAAAAAAATAATTGAAGTACTGACACATGTTACAACATGGAGTAACCTTAAAAACAGTATGCTAAATTAATCAAGCCAGTCTCAAAATACTTCATTGAAAGGATTCCATTAATATTACATGTCTAGAATAGGAAAATCTATAGAAGAAAAGGGTAGATTAATGGTTGCTTAAGTCTGTGGAGTTTGATATGGTTGTTTAGGGCTGTGGAGTATGTGGAGAAGTGGTCAGTGAATGCTAATGAATACCAGGTTTCTTTTTGTAGTGATAAGGATGTCTCAAAATTGATTGTGATGCCAGTGGCACAACTCTATGACTAAACATTATTGAATTATTCACTTTAAATGAGTGGATTTTATGGCATGTGAATTATATCTCAATAAAACTCTTAAAAAAGGAATTTCTATAAATTACAGATTTCAGTGAAAATGACTTGGTATCTATTTCCTCATAATAAAGAGGCAAATAACTCAATGGTGAAACTATGATGTATTCTTTTGTTGTAAAATTGAAGGCTGCCAGATCAGTTGCTTTTCTGATGGCAAGGAAGTAAAATATAATTATGTGTATGTTTGTATATTTCCTTGCATGCTTTTATGATCTAATATAACTCCAAATAAATAAAACTTACCTTCTCAAATATTTCTAAAATAAAACTGTGCAAAAATATAGAATATTTTAAATGTTAATCTCATAGGGACATTTTTTAAGTGTCTTCTAAGTGAAGAAAAGTAAATGGTTATCTAATGGAGAAAATTAGTCTTATCTGTGGCAAGCATTTCTGATGTATTTTATTCCTTGGTTTTAAGTATGATAGGATAATGACAGTACCTGGACTCTATATCCTGTTGAGGATTTACAGGAATATGAATTTCTATTTTTGCCTTTTAAGATTGCTATGTCTTCTTAGAGAAATGACCTTTTAAAAAATTACGATATATTATTCTTCATTATCTCTAATAGCACTCTGCTCTAAAGTCAATTTTTATATTGATATAGCTACTCTGTCTTTCCTCTGCTAGTCTTTGTGTAGAATACTTATTGATATTTGATACCTACTGGCATTTAAAAATTTTACAGAAACCTTATAAAGGAGTTTTTAAAAGTTTTATAGTTTAGAGATAAGTATTTTGGATCTGTAATCCTTTATGTTGTTAAACTCTGATTTGCTACAATTTCAGAAAATAAGGAATACAGAAATCAATTGTCTTTGAGATAATTATAGCTATATTTCATTCCTGAAACTGAAAGGCATATCTTAGAGTTCAATAAATTGTTTCCAAATTAACCTAATTTATTCTTAGATCTATTCTCAGATTAATTAATTCTGTTCTTAACCAAATTGTTAGCTATAATTGGTTAGTTCATTACATGTTTCTGTACTGGTTTTTCCATTCATTTCATTCATGTCAACCTTTTCTGTTAGTCAGGACCATATTTCAACAGATTTGGGTGTACAGATCAATGACCACAGCTTCCATTCACAGTCATAAACACAATTTAAAATATCTACATTTGGGAGACTAAGCCAAAGTATCCTAATTATAAAAATGAAATGCCATCCACCCACTCTTGATTATTTATATTATTGTAGGAATTACTTTGTGACAAATCGAGTGCCAATTATGAAAATAATAGAAGCCTCTGATGTATTTATATATAAGTAAGCATTCTTGTAACAATATGATTTAAGTAGCTAATAAACGCATGCTTTTGAAACATAAACTTTATCGTTTGTTTCCCACCTTAACAGCTGCAGAAATAGCTATTCAACCTACTCTGGAAGAGGCCTCTGACAACTGCACTCAAGAATGTCTCATCTTGGGCCACTCTGATGCCTGCTGGATGCCAGCTTCTCTGACTCATTCCAGCCCTTCACAGGCACAGGCCTCCACTCTATGCCACAGCCCTCCCCTGACGCAGACAACTCTTCGCCGACGCAACCCTCTGGTGACACAGGCAGTTGCTCTCTGCCACAGCCCTCCAATGACCCAGGCTATAGCACTATGCCACAGCCCTCCACCAGCACAGACCTCTGCTCTCCACCACAGCCCACCTCTAGCACAGGCTCTTCGCCACAGCCCTCCACCAGCACAGGCCTCAGCCCTTTACTACAGCCCTCCCCTGGCACAGGCTGCTACAATCCACTGCAGTCCTCCTCTGCCACAGCCTGCTGCCCTTCATCGCAGCCCTGCACAACCACCAGTGGGTCTGCAGCAGGGTTGGGGGCAAGGTGCTGGCCCTGAAGGACTACTTTCTCTTGACCAAGGAGCACAAGGTAGTACAAGATCTCAGTTTTATGCCATGTCTGAAAGACTTCATCCTAGTGATGATTCGATTAAAGTCATTCCCTTGACAACCTTCACCACAGGCCAACAGGCTAGACCCTCTAGGGATGATTCTCCAATTATGGAAGAACATCCATAATAAAGCTAAAACAGCTACTTCACATTTTCCAACAAGATGTTTATAAACAAAGTTTGAAATCCAATTTCAGTGAGTACTTCAAATTGTTAGATTTGTAAATAGCTATGTAAATAGAAATCTATACCAGAAACAAGTCTAGGGCTAGACCCTTAGTCAAAAGTCAAAAATTAAAAAAAAAAAGTTAAAATAAATTTACAATTTGATTAATTTAGAATGTGTACTTAAAAAGAAAAATTGAAAAAAAGTCACATCCCTTTGTACAGAAAGTCTTATCATGACAGATATTAAGATAGTATATATTACTTCTGATGCATTGTATTTTTTCTTTTTACCAGCATGTGCAGTATTACTGATTGTTTTCCATTCTGGTTTTTCTGGACTCAATATGTAGCCAATGGGAAACTAGCAAATATCTGATTTTCCAAGAGTACCTTTATTCCATCTAAACTTTTGTTTAGACAACATTAGAAGGTGTAACTATGGTAACATTTTTCCTTTTTGTTTGATACTTGTTGTCTCCACTTTTTTGTTACTAATGTTTTTGCAAACATGAACAGTAGGAAGTGTTAATATCTCATATTGCTGGTCTCTGTTTTTATGTTTTCTACTTTTATTTTAAGGATATATTGTTGATATACTTTTTATATTAATTTTCAGTAAAGAACTTAGAAAAACTCTATAGATTTCTGTCAGTAACCTATTTCTCTACTCTTCAGTAGAGTTCGAGACACTAAAGTGCAATAACTGTGCCCAAATTAGGCAATTAACTGCTAAAAAGGGCCTCTTTCTTTTTTTTTTTTGTTAAATTTATCTTTGTAGTTTAGTGTAAAGTGCATCAGAAATCATGTTGTATCTGTCATCTTAAGCCTGTATTTCATTATTGATTGGGCCTTATCTTCTGAAATCTGTATATAACAGACTAGAAAATCACAAAGAAGGTGGATGTACTGAACACTTAATCCAAATAAAGATAACTGTAGATAAAACCACATACTAAACCTCTAAGACTAAGGGATTTTTATCATTCTAGCTCAACCTACTGAAGCAAAACACTGATAACAAGATGAAAGTAAGGAAGGAACTTTTCAAGAGACATAATTATAAATGTACATCAAATGTGTTACAGTATAGAAGTTTAAGGAGATGTGCAGAGGGAGAAATGAGGTTCATGACTGCTTCTTGGGGTGGAGAAGAAATACCCCAGTAACACACACACACACACACACACACACACACACACACACACACAAACCCAAGGAAATCTCATATATGAAACAAAATATGTCATTCTAAGTGAAGAATACATGAGTAATCTTAGGGAACATTAGTTTCATTTTTGTTGTCTATTCTTTCTTTTATTTTTTGTCCTCTTAACTGGTCGTGATCTTCTATGTGCACATTTCATCAGTTTACAGAAACACCATCAACTTAATTTTCTTCCATAGCAAAACTGAGAAAATGTCTTATTTCAGTTTTACGCTAAATCAAGAGACAATTGATGTTTTAGTTGGGATGGTGGGTGAATATTTCTTCTTAATTAAATTAGATATAGACTTTGTAATGTGTAAGTTAAAGATATATAATTTATGATTAAACTGTGTGTACATGTTGTATTATAAACTGTGTGTATATGTTGTAAATGTATAGTTTTATTGGTGAAGTTTTCCAGTGATTGTTGAGAAAGCTTCTCTTAATGTGCCCAGCAGGCTACATAGCATTTTGAGACTATATTATTTCCATTATGAAACTCTTTAAATCTTGTCTGATTTGGTGTGTGAAACTTCTTAACTTTTAACTACTAGAGTTTAATTACTGAAATTTCAAATTAATTAATATTACTGATTTTTCTTCCCCTTCTGTTTTGGTTAATATTCAAAGGGATTTGGAGCATTCTGGTATTCTAGGAGCATGTGAGTCCTGAAGGACTGAAGATGTTTGAAAGTTTACTGAAATATGTTTCGTTGCTATGGTTGATGAAGATTTTAGACCTGGGGAAGATGAAAAAACCCAGAATGACAAAATCAGTTCTTCCAGTAGATTTTAGAATGCTTTTCTCTCTAAAACTTGCAAAGTTAATGTGAGTGCTTCCTCTAATATTTTAGTTATTCCTATAGTTTCCTCTCTACATGCTTAGTTAAGATCTACACACACAAATAAATAAATAAAGTGATTAAAAATGAGATATTAAAAGACTATTAAATAATGCCAGTAGCATGAATAGTTACTAGCTATGTTAATGAAAATCAGAATAAAACTAAAGTCAGATTTTTTTCCCTGATAGTGTGGTCTATTTTGTTATGTGGGTGGCTCTTAAATCCTCATATAAAATTTGTGAAGTGTTGATACCTTTCCTAGATATATAGGAATGAACAAATATGCTTTCTTGCCCTTTCTATCTCTGATTATACCATCAGACTTAGATTGTGTTCAGAATATTAAATGACTGGGCACCCTCTTCTGGGTTTGTACCAGAGAGACTTTAAATGGAAGCAGGCTCAAAGTAGCCAAAGAGGCAAGGGGTGTGAGCCCAGTTTTTCTCCCCTGTGCATTCTCTTCCTAAGCTTCCACTAGGTCTGACTTTGGCAACCAGTTGCTGCCAAGGTTTCAGATCCAATGAGATATTTCTTATCACATTGCAAACTCTTTCTTTGAGTGGATGGACAGAGCTATAGATTGACAAAACTCACAGATATTTTTAATGCACCAAATTTAGTTCCAGAACTCCAAATAAGCTTATTTTACTATAAATCAAAAATATTTACCTTGAAAAAGTAAGATTTGATTTACTTATAAGAACTTACAGTTGAATGATAAAGATGGTAATAATATGTTCAATCAAACTTGTTCTATTTTTTGGCCATGTACAATCAATGTGATCATAAATTTACTAGTTATAATGTTAATATACCACATTTGTAAGTATGTATTCAAACACCATGTATCTTATATGCTAAGTGCATACACACTTTTTCCCTTGAACTTATCTTCAAGTTTTAGCTAATATTGTGTCAGTGTATTAGAAACAAACTTACATATGGTACAAATGATGTGATAAGTTTAGAGAGTACATTTTGTGTAGTCTTATTTAATTATTTAACATTTTGTTTCTGGTAATGTAAATTTGGTTAGAAAAAGGTCATAGTTAAATGATTAGTGCTATTGTGTATTGGCGACAGTTTATGAAGAGCCTCTGCCTTCTTAAATATTTGTCACACACTTTCGTTAAAGTGGAGAAAAATAAATTCAAAATATCACATATTCTGCAATCCTAAAAATGCAGTCATGTCACAAGCAAAAACAAAGATCCTTTTCAGTCATGGGAAAATTAAGTTTTACCCACATACATATTTCAGCATTATTTTTTTGTTGTTTATATTGTCTGAATGTGCATATATCTCCTAATTCACATTTCTGAATATAAATATCTTTTTATTTAAACTTTTTATTCTCTTCTGATATATATTTGCCACTATGGCTATCATCTCTTGTTCTTTCCTATTTGGTTTCATATTTTCACATTTGGTTCCCAATCAAATTAATAGTTATATTTAGATCAACTTTTCTCACAATCATTAGATACTAATTTGGCTATTTCCAAATGGCACAATTTCCCTGGAAAACATGGGAGCAAGAAAAGCTGAATTATATCTGAAGAGGAAATTTTTTACATTAACACACCAACTACCACTCCAGAGGAATTTTATGCAGAGGCTTTAAAATATTCATTCATAGTCACTTTTTTATATTAACCATCCATATCTTTTTCAGTAAATATGATTTTTAAAAGCAGTGCAAGTTGACATCAATAGAAGTAACAATGAGAAGGCCACGCAGAAAAATGTGTGTGCACAATTGAAAAGGAAAAAAAAAAACACAAAAAACATGAAGGCAATTGTTCAGTGATTGTATGTGATACTTTCACAAATAAAATGTGTGGAATTTATACTATCCCTGCTTAAAATACTTGGAATTTCATGAAATATGTATTTATGTTTGTATTTTGAGAAGATTCCTCCTCTGTGACATCATACAGCATCTGAAAGTGAAGAGTATCTCAAAGCAGCTCTATCCATGCTTTGGAAGTGAGAAGGTTGGATATTTTATGGCATAGGAAGGCAGTATGTAGTCCAGTGGCAAATGTGTATTGTTTGATATCAGATTCTGTATTGCATGCTTTCTTATTCATTATTATAGGTATTAATAAAGCTATGAAAAATGAAAATACATATTTATTATGTGTGTTCATTTAAAAGTCAAAGGCTTTATTTTATTTTAAACTGTTCTTAAAATCTATCTAAGGTAAAATATACCTTTAGATGGAACATTTCAATGAGTTAGCTTAATTTTTGTTTACTCAGAGAGTCCCTTCAATTTAGTTTTTTGAAATAAACATCATTTCACCCACTTTTCAAAGCTGGTAAGTGATATTGTACTGTTTTAGAAAATTTATTTTGTATCTTTCAAGGCAAACTTAAGATATAGTTATTTATTTATTATTTAATGTAAATTTCACCTCTGGATTTCTGTACACGACCCTTGAGGATCCAAGTGAAACTTATGGAGAATGTTGATAATATTTGTGGAACAAAATAACTTCATTCTTGGCTTCACTTTTATGTTGGCTAAATGGAGAGAATCCCAGTACTTTGAAACCTCTTAAGCTACACAAGGTCAGTAAATACTTGATTGCACTTGGCATTTTTATTATTGCTTAAGTTTGAACAGAGCACATAATCTAGTGCTTTTTGTCTTCTTTCTTTTCTCACCCATCTTTCTGTAAGTGCTATATTAATATGCTTATTCCTACAAAAGGTTAGGTGGCTTAGAGGTAAAGATTCTGCCTGCAATACAGGAGATGCGGGTTTGATCTCTGGGTCAGAAAGATTTTCTGGAGAAGGAAATGACAACCCACTTCAGTATTATTTTTCTTTTTTAAAAAAATATATAATTAATTTATTTTAATTGGAGGCTAATTGCTTTACAATATTGTAGTGGCGTTC